TTTTCGCTTGAATGATTGTGCATGGAATAATAGAAAACGATTTCGGTTCAGTTTTATTGGTTTTACGGACTGAGATAATGGTTAACAGAGACAAACGGGGGCATTTGTATGGCCCCGTGAGAGGTGAAATTCTTGGACCGTGGCCGGACAAACTACAGCGAAAGCATTTGCCAAGAATGTCTTCATTAATCAAGAACGAAAGTCAGAGGTTCGAAGGCGATCAGATACCGCCCTAGTTCTGACCGTAAACGATGCCAACTAGCGATCCGCTGATGGAAATTATATTGCCTTGGTGGGGAGCTTCCCGGAAACGAAAGTCTTCCGGTTCCGGGGGAAGTATGGTTGCAAAGCTGAAACTTAAAGGAATTGACGGAAGGGCACCACCAGGAGTGGAGCCTGCGGCTTAATTTGACTCAACACGGGGAAACTCACCCGGCCCGGACACTGTGAGGATTGACAGATTGATAGCTTTTTCATGATTCAGTGGATGGTGGTGCATGGCCGTTCTTAGTTCGTGGAGTGATTTGTCTGGTTTATTCCGATAACGAGCGAGACTCTAACCTACTAAATAGTTGGTACATACTCTTTGTGTATACAGCTTCTTAGAGGGATTTGCGGCGTTCAGCCGAAAGAAATTGAGCAATAACAGGTCTGTGATGCCCTTAGATGTCCGGGGCTGCACGCGCGCTACACTGGCAAAATCAACGTGCTTGTCCTACCCTGAAAGGGGCGGGTAAACCATTGAAAATTTGCCGTGATTGGGATCGGAAATTGCAATTATTTTCCGTGAACGAGGAATTCCAAGTAAGTGCGAGTCATCAGCTCGCGTTGATTACGTCCCTGCCCTTTGTACACACCGCCCGTCGCTGCCCGGGACTGAGCCATTTCGAGAAATTTGGGGACCGTTGATTTAATTTATCTAAATTATTTTGATGGAAACCAATTTAATCGCAGTGGCTTGAACCGGGCAAAAGTCGTAACAAGGTAGCTGTAGGTGAACCTGCTGCTGGATCATTACTTTATGTGATGTTCAATTTTGAATCGCAATGAAATAATTGTTGTGTAACGGCTGTCGCTGGTGTCTAGGTGTTGCTGATACAGTTGTGAACGTCCGTGGCTGTATATGTGGTGACATGTTAGGACTATAATGAGTTTAAGACTTAATGAGCCTCTTAAGTGAGGACGCCAGCACTCTTTTTTTATATTTAAAAAAAAACAAAATTCCTAGCCTTTCCGGTGGATCACTAGGCTCGTGGATCGATGAAGAACGCAGCAAACTGCGATAAGTTTTGCGAACTGCAGCAGCCTTGAGCATAAAAGTTTTGAACGCATATTGCCGCATAGGGGTCAAACCCTTTGCTATGTCTGGTTCAGGGTCATTATCTTTCAAAGCGAAAGCTTTATTGTATAATTGCTTTTGTGGCTTCTTTATGTTTTAAATTGATTGTTAGATATGTTTAATTGTTCGCATGTATCATCAACAATATTGATTTTTTGACCTGAACTCAGTCGAGAGCACCCGCTGAACTTAAGCATATCAGTAAGCGGAGGAAAAGAAACTAAACAGGATTCCCCTAGTAACGGCGAGTGAATAGGGAAATGTCCATCGCTAAATCATTTTGCCTAAGGCATTATGAGGTGTAGCGTATAAGCCGTAATTTTTAATCTTTTGTCTCAAATAAGTCCCCTTGACAGGGGTTCCACAGAAGGTGCAAGTCCTGTACATTGAGATAATTGATCGATATTTACGTGCTTTAGAGTCGGGTTGTTTGGGATCGCAGCCCAAAGTCGGTGGTAAACTTCATCTAAGACTCAATATTGCCACGAGACCGATAGCAAACAAGTACTGTGAAGGAAAGTTGCAAAGCACTTTGAAGAGAGAGTTAAAGAGGACGTAAACCGGAGAGGTGGAAACGGATAGAGTCGGCGTATCTTTCAAGTATTCATTTACATTATTTTTATGTTGTGATCTCTGAGCTCCAGATTGGGACAGAAAGAAGCATCATAATTTTCTGTGATGCATTTGCTTGTTTGGTGCTTGGGGATGTTTGAGGCAGATTTGTAACCGCCGTTTTGAGGCCAGCTTGCTGGTACCCAAACAGCGTTAGCATCTTTTGTCTTGGACATTTGAGTATGGTTTACGGGCATTTATTGGTTCGATCTGATTGTAAGTTACGGTCGCATGCGACACGTGCTTTTCATTTAGATCGGTCCAGTTAATGCTCTCGTACTCGCTCCCCATGTAAAAGCCGGTCATCTATCCGACCCGTCTTGAAACACGGACCAAGGAGTTTATCGTGTGCGCAAGTTTTTGGGTGTTAAAAACCTAAAAGCGAAATGAAAGTAAATGGCTCTTTAGAGTCTGACGTGCGATCTTGTAAAAAAGGGCAGCATGGCCCCATTCTAACTGTTTACAGTAGGGTGGAGGAAGAGCGTACGCGGTGAGACCCGAAAGATGGTGAACTATTCCTGAGCAGGACGAAGCCAGAGGAAACTCTGGTGGAAGTCCGAAGCGGTTCTGACGTGCAAATCGATCGTCTGACTTGGGTATAGGGGCGAAAGACTAATCGAACCATCTAGTAGCTGGTTCCCTCTGAAGTTTCCCCCAGGATAGCTGGAGCTCATTAGTAGTTATACTCGGTAAAGCGAATGATTAGAGGACTTGGGAACGAAATGTTCTTAACCTATTCTCAAACTCTAAATGGGTATGATGTCAAAGTTGCTTGATTTTGAACTTTGGCGTTGAATACGAGTTCCAAGTGGGCCATTTTTGGTAAGCAGAACTGGCGA